AAATGATTTTTTGGGATTCTCTCGTCACCCAACAATGGTATTAGAGTTGGTAGTAACTAAAGAGGCCAATTTTTTACGTTAAAAATTTCTGTGATAGTGATAGTCAGGCGATATATCACGTTGATATGGTGTGCATCAATGGTGGTGCAATTATATGTGAATGAAAATTTTTCCATTTGCAAGGAGTATGCTTAGATAAATTGATGAACTTGAGATTGTTATGGCCAGTACAAGAGAAATGTCTCACATTAGATGAAAAAGTGAATGTTTAAACAAGATATAAGTGAGATAGCCCATATACATATCATCTTAAAGGTTTTAATTAAGATGTAGCATCCAAATCACTTATGTGGTTACTCTTAATCCAATATGAATGATTTTCTATACACCCAATGACAGTTTATCATAACCTATTTTTAGTATGATTTCTAATTATTTTAAGTGCTTGCTTTTTTAAATGTTTTATAGGATTTAATTAATATTTCAAAGAAATGTGGAAAATACTAATCCAAGCCAAAATCAGCCTAACAAGAAATATTCTATGATTTTTACTATGGAAGTTAAGATGACAAAGTAAATAGATTACTAGCATACAAGAAACAGAAGAAAAGAAGAGAAATCACAAAATAAACAAGAATTGTGTCGCACATATACATCAGACTAGTGTTAATTGAGCATTAAAGGGGGGAAACCAAACATTTGAAGACATAGTTCCACACTTAAAGCATGAAACTAAATAATGGTGTGGAGATATTTATGATTTATATGCATAAGGCATACTCGATCGTTATTGATGAAATATTGTCATATGTTGTTTTTAGTAGTTAATTCCTTTAAAGTTAAGTACTTTTTACTATTAATGCATTTATGTATCAGAGGTTTTTAATAAAGATTATAAAATTTGTGTAAAATAGAAAATTGATTTGAAATCATCCTAACCACATGAATTTAATAGTATTTTTCTATGATAGATACAATAATGAAACAAGAAGATACTAGCACATGAAAAACGAAAGGAAAACGGAGAAGAATTGCAAAAGACACTTAATAATGGTGTGGTTATACTTGATAATGGCGCCACCCAGATGCAAATGGCTAAAAGACATTGCAAAAGCATAAAATCTTATTCATACATTCTGCGAAGGGGTTGCCAAATTACTAAAATAGGGTAGGGGAACAATAGTAGTATGATTATGCCAAATTTCCAAGAAATTGCAAAAGATTATGTGTACTTTGGTTTAATATGAATCTTACTCGTTATGCTAAGTTCATATATGTCAACACCTTTGTTGATGTACTACTTTATATAAGCGTTTGATGCTACTTATGAAATCTTTTTTTTATAATTTAAGTAGTGGATTGTTAGAACAATTAATGTTGAAGTTTTAATATTGGAACATTTGCCAAACCAAGTGTCAAAGATCTAATTTGGACAGTGATTTGAAAAAGCTCCTTAAGTTTCAAATTTGACAACTTTCACTTCTTTCAAGCATTTATATAGTGGATGAATTCTCCTTTGGGTGTACCATAAGAGGTATAGAAATTTTGTAAACAAATGGAGCGATGTCAATAATTAATACCATGTGGGATATGTCTGACTCGGGTCAGACTTGGGGCTTGGTTTGATACTAATCCAATTTTTTTGCAACAGAAAGTTTAACTTTTAAAAGAAATTCAAAATTGACACATCATTTATTATAGTAAGCAATGACTAAGAATTGTGAGATTGTGTCTAGGATTTAAGAGAGTTGTGCCACCTCTTCTTAAATTTTCTCCCACTTAAATTGACCAATTCTCCATTCCTAAATTCTCTCTCGCGTTTGTGTTCATTTGATCGTTCCCTTTATTAACAGTGAAACAATCTGTATGTTCATTCATGGATCAGTTCCAAAACTTTTACTTTAAATAGAGACCTTTAATCACCTCTCAAAACACCAAAAACTCCAGAGTTATTTCTTCGCCATTTTTTTGTACTCTTTAAGTTATCAGAGCATCTTCTTTTTTTCACTTTTACTTGTCGGATTTTTTAAATATTTATTAAAATTCTCTTTGAAAAATTAGTTGTCTTTTGAAAAAATTCTTTTCGTTCAAGAAATGTAACTATTAGTAGCTAAAGGTGTTTTATCATGAGACTAGTTGATAATAGCATAATTTTTAATAGTGCAAGAAAAAATGTTTTCAATTTTTTTTTTAATTCACCACTTCTAGTATAACATATTGCCTTCGTCTTAAATTATAAGACGCTTTGGAAAAAAAAATTGTGTTAAATTATAAGTTATTTTACAATTTCAATGTAAAATTAATAATGTTTTTTTTTTCAATATACCCTTTATTATTTATTTCTCTTTCTTCTTTCAATTTCTTTAATTTCTCTTTCTTATATAATTAATAAAGAACAATAGTGTAAAATGATACATAATTTCTCATTTTCATACAACAATAATTATTTTTAATGCTCAAAATATCTTATGATTTGAGACGGAAGGAGAAGCGTAATAGTATGACTTTATATTTTCAACTAAAAGTTACTACGTTTTGCTCCTTTAACTACTTTCTTTTGACTCAACCCCTTCCCTTTTGTTGAAAATATAGCAAGTGTAAGTGTGGGGAAATAGTCACACATTGAATATGAATATGGTGACTTGGGCATTTATAAGTGAGAGAATCCACTCATCTATCACCTTAAGATTTTAGATGGACAAATGGTGTATCTCACACAAATGTGTGTTACTCAAACGAAAAATCTCAAAAATAAAAATGTTCATCGCTCAATCCTCCTCCGATTACTTGTATAGAAAGTATCTCGACTTAAACATTTATTATCATCTTAAATTTTAGATGAACATATGATATATCAACGAAAAATCCTGAAAATAAAAATACTTCATAAAAATGTTTCACGCTCCACCCCTATTGTTGGGATAACACCTTTAACTAACTTATTAATTATATTTGTCAAACTTTACAAGGTAGTACTTCAGGTCATATTGTTTGTTGGCTGGTCAGCAATTCAACTAAGACTGACTTAATTGGTCAACAATGCTTTGATCATTATATTTATACCTTCTCTCCTTACCACTTTTGATTTGCCTTTATGATACAACAATACAGCGAATTCACCCAACCCATCTTAATATTAATTAAATTCTTCGGAGTAGCTTGATGACATTACTATTAACAGTTGTTGAATTTCACTTTTAATAGTGAAATAATCGACACAATTTTTATGTTGAATTCAAACAAGAGAGTATAACAATGACCCCTAAATCCTTTATACATATAAGGATATACTATGAGAATAATTTTCATGCAATGCTGTTAGCTAATTTTTTTAAAATTGTTAGTCAACTAGTATAATTTATTGTTCTGTGTATAAACTTTAAATATAAGTAAAATGAATATCAAATATTTTTAATAGTCAAATAATAATGATTAATTTTTTTGCAAAAGTGAAATTGAATGAATTTGAAACATATAAATAAATGTAATGATGGATGACATAGCAGATAAAAATGCAGGATATTAAAAGATCGCGTCAAACGTAGGTTAAAGCTAGTTTACTCAATACAAAAATCTTACCTCATTAAGATTTGATTAATTTTTATTATAATGTTTTATACAAAATGACTTTCTATTCAAATATTTAATCTCAAAATTTTATTAAAATTATCTTCAAATCCTTTAAGTTATTTAATTGTAATAAATTAGTATTTTATATTTTTTTATTACATATAAGTCTTTTATGTTAATTATCGTTTATGATATTGATTTTTTTTCTCAAACACTTTTTTAAAAAAGTTTAAGTGATATTAATGATACTGATATGTCACTTAATATGATACTGATATGTCACTTAATATAGGTCAGAGACCATCGTTAAATTATATAATAAAATTTTCAGAATTTTTGAGTGCATAAAAATATTTTTAAATTAATTAAAATGCACAAAAAAAAAGAAATTAAAGAAAAATAATAAAACAAAAAATAAAATTCTCAAAATGTAAAATGAGAAAAAATATTTTTAGATATTTTTTCATAATTTTTAAACCAAAAACAAATTTAATATAAATTTTTAAAATTAAAATAAAATAAATAAAATAAAATAAAGCAGAAAAATATCAATAATACAAGTGTTAGTTAACATAAAAGATCTAATAAAAAATAAAAAATTAATTTATTACAATTAAATAAAGAAGCTAGAGTAATTTTACCAATTTTATTTAATAACTTTTTCAAAGATAAAGTTTATTTAGGTCTTATTACTTCTAGTTTTGTTAAGTTCTTTCCATATGATATATTTTCTTTATAACATGATTTACCCGTCTTCTCTTTATATCTCAATATCACTAAGTATATTTCATCATTTTTTTATAATATAATTTACCCGTTTTATATGTGAATATCCCTACCACTTTCTTTTTAATATTAAAAAAATAAATTTTGTGTTCTTTTGTTTTTATTGATGAAATAAATATTAAAAAACAAATTATGAAAGCTTTTTTGTAAGAAAAATTTAAGGTGAGGGGATGATTCCTACTATAAATAAGGAAAGACAGATTAAAAAAACTAATCACTAGAATATTTATTGTTTCTGTCTTAACACTTTTTCTCTTTTACAGATGAAACATAATTTACAAGATTTTTTTTTCCTGATCTCTTTTTGCATCATCAATATTCAACAAACGTCATCAAAAATGATTTTTTTTTTGAAGGTAGGTCAGAAACCATGGAATAATCAGTAGTACTCTTCAGATAACCAAATCTTAAAAAATAAAATAAAAAATATTCTTCAAACATTAAACCTCATATATATATATATAAATAAATATACTAAAAGGTGAAAACAATTTACACTTCAAAAATACTATTACAAAAGGAATTCAGAAAGGTACTATATATAATAATAATAATAATAATATAATAATAATAGTAATATATATAATGTAACAAAATTATCATACAAATTAATTAAACTTTATATTAATAATAAAAGTACTGCACTAGACATTGAGTATCTTGGTAAGAGCCTGCAATGCATTAAGTTGCAACCTCAACTGCAAGATATGCTCCGCCGTCCTCAGAAAAAGTCCGTCCGCCTTCAAACCGTCGCCTCCCGGAATGATCCTTTGCAATTTCTTCATTTTCCGGCTAACTGCAACCTGTCTCCTCCTTCTCCTCAACTTCATCTTTGTCAAACCTTTACACCCAGCCATGGCCATTAACAACAATAGTTTATTTGTTTTTAAATAATAAAAAAAATTATATTAACTATATATATAACTTTTAGAAGGAATTGAAAAAATTTGAGAGATGGAAAGAAAATGAGATGAAGTTGAAGTGAGAATGAGGGCATGAAATGAGGAATGGGAAGGGATATAAATGGATGTTGGAAAAAGGAAAGAGGAAATTGAAAAGGTGTGGGAATGGGCCATGTGAGCCGAGCTGAGCCGAGCTGAGTTATGATTTGGTTTTGCACGCTTGGCTTAGTTTGGCGTGTTTTGGGGCGGTGGGCCCGGTTCATGTTTGGCCTGTAGCGCCCCACACACGTGTCTGACAGCTTCTTAAATTTCCTACTTGGCTCGCGCTATTCATCCCACGTATAAATTCAGTACTACATTTATTATATCTAAGTTTTTTAATTAGAACATATCTTCAAATCTAAACCTCGTTTTAAATTTTTGTTTATAATATAAACTCTTCCTATAAAAATAATGAATTTAATTGATACTTACAGTGTAAAATAGTTTTACACTTTCATTTAATAGAAAATAAATAATTTATCATATCGTAATACGGTTGTAGAACTGACTGTTATATTAGTTTTATATTTTTTATTCGTAAATATTACGGTAAATAAGAGTCGTCACACGACTTTCTTTTATCCAATAAAAAAAATGATGAAAAAAATAAAAAAAGACATTTCGAGATTATTTCTGAGTAAGAAGGATAAATTATGAAAAGGGAAGATGTTAGCACACTTTTCATCCGTAATTATCTACGGACTCTTAGATGTTAGCTCATTTGAAAATGCCTTGTATTTGTGTGTTTGAAAAAAAGTATTTTGAAAAGACGCCTCAGTGCGGCGAACTTTGTAATGTTTCTCGTAGTGTTGAGAACGTATACAAAGTATCTTTGAAAATATTATTAGAAAGGAGTGTATGTGTGAAAAATATTTTATTTTGAGCAAACATCTAAGAACTATCTACCTACTCGAACATGTTTGTTCTTTTCCTCTTTTCCCTTAGACAATATTATCCTATTATTAGTGAGTAAGTAGCTCCATCATTGTATGTTTGAGGGACAATCGAGGATCATCGTACGGTCACAAAGGCAACTAGTAAGACATCTTAGTAATTATCCTAGGGTTTTAAAATCATTTTATCAAGGCAATGTCGAAAGGGTCATCGAGGGACTTATGATCTTTTAAGCCAAAGGGTAGCCACTAAAATCTCTTACGTTCGAGAGTTGTGACTGTTTTATTCTGAAGGCAACCGAAGTGGGAGTACTCTAGAGGTGCGCATGTGCGAGTGCGTTATATTCAGTTATTTTTCTTTGATGTTAGGTTTGCTAACGTTTTGCTTTTAATTCTTGTCATGCAATCCTATTAGGCATACATCTAACAGTTCAATATCAGTGCGGAAAATTAAAATGCGGAATTTAAACTAGCTATTACATGACTTTGGGGAGGGGAAAAATTACAAGTCCAAAACTGGGATAAAAACAGTAAAAAAAATCTAATTAGTCTATTACAATCCATGGACAGATACAATAATAAGAAAGTAATAATGTGGAAAGTAAAATGAACGTGCGAGGATTAAAAACAATATTTTTTTTAAAACCCTAAGAAAATTTATGCAAATTAAAAAAATTCTTTTTTTGTTGTTTTTGTTTATTTTAAGAAAATATTAAAATTAAAATTAATTAAATAACTAAACCTATTTTTAATTAATTAACAAAATAATTGATTATTAATGAAAATAAAAATTAATAAAAGAAGGTTATTCTACATGTTTTTTTTGTATTTATTAAGAAAAAGATTTGCAATCTAAATTTAATTGATTTTAAAATGAAATAAAAAATTAAAATAATTAAATTAACTAATTTATTAAAGTTTAATTAAAAACTTAAATCTAAATTTTTTTATGATTTTTCTGATTTTATGATTATAATAAAAAAAAATTTAAAAGAAACAAAATAATTAAAACAAAAAAAAATGAAATAGGAAAAATGGGTCTGCTGTTGTTGAAGCAATTTGGGGGGATGAGATTAAAATTTTGCTAGGTCCATCTACTTGAAGGTCCAGGCGCTTCAAAAACTTGCAAAAAAAAACATGTTGAAAAAACAAAATGCAGAACCTGGGATTGAACCCAGGCACTTTAGGCATACACACACGCTTCTCACCACCAGGCCATCTATTCATTCGTTAATTTATATAAACAGATAAATATATTATATTAAAATCAGTCAGAAATATGAAAAAAATAAAACGTGCACGTAGCTTATTCAAACAAGCCAATGAGAAGATGACACGATGTTCACCAAAGTCAACCAATCGGAGTCAACATTCTGTTTGTCTTCTCCGGTGAGTTCCAAGCCCTAACCTGCAAAATAAGCAAAATCAATGGATCCAAATACCCCTACCCCCCCCCCCCCCCCCCCCCTTAAAATGACGCGTTGAGTCCAAATCTGGCCTTAGTTTTTGCTAAAGGTCTCTGAATTTTGCGTTTCGAAGCCAAGCTTCCGATCGGGGTTGAGAATGACATCTCATGAACCAAGCCTCAAAACTTACATGCTTCACGTCCAACCCGCTCTATATATGGCTACAAACATGTATGCAAACGTCAAATGGATTAATAAATGCATATTAACGAGATTAGATTTAAATAAACTATATCAAATGGTGCAACTTGTATGGACGACTCGGGCGCGCTTCAGGACAAGGTGAGGGATGGAGATGACTCTTGAGGATCTCAGGAGTGCAAAGATGGCATGAGATTGGATGGAGGAAGGCTGGAAATCAGGTTTTGAATTTTCATAACCTTTGAACAATTTTGAGAATTTTGAGAGCTTTTTCCAAGTGATGATTTCGTGTCCTTTGCTTATGCTTTTGTTTTTTATTTATAGAGGGGTGCAATGGTGAATAAATATGGCAAGAATCCACATATTAAGGCCCCTTTCAAAGCAATCTCAAACATATTAAAATGTTTCCAAAATTATGAAAAACTTGCTCTTCTTGAGATGCAATGAACCTGACCTCTTTTGCACGAAATCTTAGGTTCAATATTGATTCAAAACATCAGCCCATGTGTCCAAATCATTTATCTTTTATTTTATGCATTTTATTTTGTATTTATTTGAATAAAAACAAAAATAAATATGAATAAAATATAGGAAAATTAAAAGCAAGGTGAGAGTGAATTTAGGAGTCCTTGAGTAGGTCATAAACATATTTGAATCCCAAAAAATAGGTCTATGAACTTAAAAATGTATTTTTGCTCAAAGTTGACTTTTTGTATTTTCACCAATTTGCATTGGTCATAACTTACTCAATTTTTATCTTTTGGATATGATCTTGAACTTTTTGAAAAGTCCAAAATGTCCTCTACAATCTTTATGTTGACATTTTTTTAATTTGGAGAATTTATCTTGATGTAACTTGCCTTGACAAAAAATGACTTTTTGTTGACTTTCAAAAAGACCTGTAATGTATTGGTTCATATCTTTCCAATGATGCATTTTTTGAACTTGAGGAAAAAAATAAAAGTTGTAAGGAATCAAGTTTTCTTCACAATAAGCTTTGGTTGGGGAAAAATGGATGAAGCATGTGAAAGTTATGCCTAGTCAAATTTTAGTTGACTTTCTCTAGAAAACCCTAATTTAGTAAGTTTTGATTCTTGATGATGCATTCCTTGAGGAATCATGATCAACTCTTGATCAAATGATAGATATCACTTCAAAATGTTTATGTTGACCAAAAATCTTAAAGTTTGACTGTATATTGACCATAGTTGACTTTTGACCTAAAATAGTTGATTTTTAGTCATCTGAGCAATTGACTGAGCAAATTTGTAATGCAAGGCATGAAAGTTGGTATGGACATTCTTGAGGACATATTAGGGATCATGGAAATCACTTGAAGCCTTTGAAACCCAAACTTCTTTGTGAAAAATGAAACCCTAGTTGAAGATCCATTGCTTATGAGGAGAATTTGTCTGGTCAATTCTTGGTCAACCTTGAGCACTTGAGGATCTTTAGGAGTATGTTTTGAATAAAATAAGAGGGAAAACTTTGGTGCACAACACATATCATTTAAATTTTTTAAAATAAAAAATATTTTAGTTAAATATATAATTATAATAAATTGATAGTGTAAAACTATTTTACAGCATAATGCATTATCCTTTTTCCCAAAAAAAATTTATCATCTTAAACTTTTATTCTGAGTTGGTCAAAATAATCCTACATTATTTAAAACTGAGACAAATAAAAACTTATGCTCAATATTCATACATCTGAATTTTACGAGACATTTTTTATTTATTTTAAAAGATAAAATTGTAAAATAAAATTAGAGAAATACTAACCAGTACTTTCAGGACATTCTTTAAAACTTTAAAATAATAAATATTTTTTTTGAAAATCTACGTATTTAATATCTTTAAAATTGAAATGGTTAGAATTTCTATAAAAAAATTTTTTTTTAGAATGTTTAAAGAGTGCTCTGAAAGCACTGATTAGCAAGACCTATAAAATTATATTCAAAGAGGACAAGTTTTTATGGTCACAATAGCGCGAACTTGTGTTTGATCAGAATATTAGAAAATAATAGTCATTTTTGTGTTAAATGTAAGGGTGACAAACAGGCATGCCCGCTCCATTTAGCTCCGCTTCATAAAAGGCTGCAAAAAATGAGACGGAGTGGGACATACATAGTTGAGGTTGAGGGTCTAAAACTTAGACTCGTCCCGCCAAAAAGTCAGTGTGGGGCAAAGAAAGTTCACAGACGGTACACATTTTAAATTTAAAAATATAAAATTTTAAGCTAATGCTCATGTCTATAAAAGTCAGCAAAAAAAGATAAAACAAAACGGAGCTCATATTAAAGGGTGGAGATTAAATTTTTACCTCAAATACAGGCAAAACAGGCACGAAATCAGACCCATTTTTCCACCATAGTTAAATTAAATGATTCTTTTTAAATTAAGAAATAGAA